GATGACGCGCGGTGCGCGCGCGGGCGCGGCGCGGGGGCGCGTGGGGCGAGCGCACGACGGGGATGACGCGAATGGGACGCGTGGGGCGGCGGCGGACGACGGCGACGACGACGCGCGCGGGGACGATGGACGCCACGCGCGGGCGTCGACGGACGCGATTGAAGTCTCGGACGCGACGGGTGCGGACGGGGAGGAAGAGGAGTACGAGGAATACGAGGAAGAGGTGGATTACGAGTTTGACGATTACGTCGGCGACGCGAAGGCGGCGGCGGCGCGGTTACGACCGGATTTTACCTGGGACGCGTGCGAGCGCTCGGTGCGTCGAGCGGTGGAGGGGGGCGGGGTGGAGTATGCGGCGGTGGGACGGGGGGCGGTGGACGCGCACTCGGCGGTGGGGACGATTGTAGCCTTGGCGTCGTTTTGGAGCGCGCGGGCGATTCGGATGGAACTCGAAAAGCGGGAGAAAACGACATCGGTCGTCGGTGGGGGGCGGGAGATGTCCGAGGAAGAGCGGATGCGAGAGCTGGAGCTGCGACGCGAACGGCTGGCGCGCGAGGCGGAGGCGGAGCGCGAGCGGCGGGCGACGCGAGACGCCGAGGAGGCGGCGGAGCGCGAGAGGCGGGAAGAGGCGGCGCGATTACGAGCGGAGGCCGAGGCCCAGGCGGCGGCGGAGGAAGAGAAACGGCGGGAGAAGATGCGCGCGGAGTTGAGACGAAAGAACGCCGAGGAGAAGGAGCGACTGGAGGCGCGGCTCAAAGCCGAGGCCGAGGCCAAGGCGGCGCAGTTCGCAGCCGAGCAGGCTGAGCGCGAGAAGAAGCGACTCGAGAGAGAAAAGGCTGAGGCTGAAGAGATGGCGCGGCGTCAGGCGGTGTGCGACGAGCGCGGAGAGATGGAGTTTACGGTGAGCGCTGACACGGAGGTGGTGATGAAGCGCGACAACGCGAGCGCCCCGGTGGAGGTCATCGTCACCGCGCGCGTCGGTATCTCCGCCGGTTCCACCGAGAGTGCGTCATTCAGGAGCGCAGAAGAGGCTCGTGTCGCCGCTCTCCCGCTGTGCTCCACGGTCGCTTCACAAGCCATGATTGCCTACTCATCGGACGCGCGTCTGCAGGACATGATGGGAAACGGACCGCTAAGCAAACTCCCTGGGATGGATGACTTGGAATTCGAGCACTGGACTCGTGTGATGCAGGCGCGATTGGATAGTGAGATGCGTACCGCGATCGTCCGGAACGGCGCCGCTCTCGAGGTGAAGCTGCGCGAGCAAAAGAAGGGTGGATCGGAGAAGAGCAAAGCGACGACGAGATTCAAGCGACGATGCCTTCCGGCAGAGGACGAGGAGAACATCGTGCGAAGGATGGAATTGGCCGTGGACGCCGTGGCGGGTGAAATCATAGAAGAGTTCGAGGCCCCGGCGGGTGGATGCGAGACGGCGGCGGAGATTCTCGCGGAGATTGAATTCTACGAGCTTGGACAGCTCCACGGCTTGCACCCGTCAATCGTCTTTCCGGCGGAGCACCCAAAGACGGGCCTATCAGGCGAACTCATGGCGTCCATGTTGACGCTGTCGCACTTCATCAAGCGTGCGAATCGCGCGTTCGAAGACGACCCGCGAGTGAGCGAGCGAGCGAGGCAGCTCGCCGCAACGCTCGTGGGGAAATCGGCGAGCAAGCAAGGGTCGTGGCGAGCGATGTACCTGGACGGGTTCACGGGCGATACGCTCACTGCGGCTTCCGCGATGGCTGACACGGTACTTCCCGAAGACGACGCCATTCGCGCATTCCTCAATGGCGCTGTCGAGGAGCAGCGAAGAAGACTCGCCGGTGAGGAGCGCGAGTACGAGGAGGAGTGGCCTGACGCTGAGAAGGTTCGTAAGATGCGCCTGGCGGAGATGCGAGAAAATCAACCCATCACCGAGCGTCTATACGCCCTTCGCACGGCGGCGTTACAGTTGGCGCAATCCGGATCGAAGGACCAGGCGCGTAAGATGCTTGAGGAGGCGTGCGAGCTCCGAAAGAATGATGTGAAAAAGAACAACAAGGATCCGGAGAACACCGCGGAGACACTCCCAGAGCTCATCGCCCTGTTGCACGTGCTGGAGACCAGAGAGGCGTGGATGGACGATTGCCGCACGTGCAGACGCGAGGTCCTGCGATGTGTTCGCGTCGCTGTGGACGAAATCGCGAACGAAGGCGATATCGTCGCTGCGGCCGCCCTCCTTGAAAGCGCCTTACACGAGTACGAGCCGTTCCTTGGCGCCGAAGACGAGTGCATGCTCGAGTACCGCGCGATAGAAGAAGCTCTCTGGCTCCGCGCCGACGTCGACGTCGAGGAGCGCGAAGACGCCGTGGCTCAAATAGCCGGCACTGTCGGGGCAATCGCAATGATTACCGATAGGTACAGCAAGGAGATCGAGTCCAGGCGTCGTCCGTAAGCAGTTTCAACACATTTCAATTCTTTTACAACATTTCAATTCTCGCCTTTTAACGAAAACATCCTCGACAGACTTCGATTGAGCTCGGTGAACGCGTTCGTCGTGGCTTCTCCCACTGCAACGGCTGCACGCTTCGTCGACTCGGTCGCGGCGACGAGGCCCTTCTTCGCCGTCTCGTCCCAAGATTCCGGTGGTGTCTCAGAGGCCTCTTCCAGCTCGAGCGCTGCTTCGCGAGCGATTTGCTCCGCCGCCGCTATGGATTCCGGAAGTGCGTTCGTCATCGCCGTCGTCGCAGCGCGAACCGTGAGATAGCTAGACACCGCAGGAACAAGCTCACAGAGCAACACGGGTAAGTTGCTCGCCGTGAACACACCTGTAGACATGCGCTTGTAAATCGCCACCGGCAGCGATCGAGCAAACGCGCGCTCGGCGGCTCGATTTGCCTCGCCAGGAGTTCCTCCAGAATCACGAACGAGCTCGCGTACGCGCGCAGCACTCATCGCCGCGTCGCGCTGAGCGCTTCGAGACGCATGAGACCCCGATTCCAAGACGGAACGAACGGCGGCGTTGGTGCGCTCGCGCACATCCTCACCCAGTCGGTACATTTTGTCGTTAAGGACCTCGCTCAATGATTTCTTCTGCTCATCCCCGCTCTCGTCCATGGTACCGATCTGGGCGCCGCAAAACGCATCGCTGCTCTCCAAATCTTCCATCAAGTCTTCTAAATCTAACTCCTCAACCGTCAGACGCTCGGCCATTATTTTCGAAGCGTTTGCGCCAAAAAAGTACAAGAGCGACGACGCAACAAGAGAAGGTCTCAAATCCGCGAGCTGATCGTTCGGTTCGCCCATGATGACCATTGCAAAGCACAGGCGCATACGAATCGTAAAATACATCACGAGCGCCGGGAGCGACGTGAGTGGTGCGGCGAGGGGGCCTCCCAGAGATAAAATGGTGCCCGCAGCGAAGGATTTCGTGCTATCCGCATAAATCATCGACTTCAGCTTTGAAACCTCCAGGTCGGGGTTGTACTCTCGATGGTACTCAGCCAACTCTCGAGCGCTGAGAACTGAGACCGGTGCGAACGCAGAGGGCACGCCCGCAACGGTGCCGGAGATGATTTTCCCGAGCATGGCATCCGCCCGAGCTTTACCACCCGACGAATCAAACTCCGCCGACTCGCCAACGACTGCGTCCCAAAATGTCACAATGTCACGAAGTGGCTGATACTGCTCTAAAATCTCCTCGCATCTCTTACGAACGATATCTTGCAACCTTTTTGCCAGCTTTTGCACCCACTTTCGCTCCTCCATCGATGCCTCAGCCCACGCGAGCGCCGCGACTTCCTCAAGCGTCGACTGCGCCGCGTCCGATCCAATCAACCGACACGTCTCCACACTGGATACATCAGCGACGCCCACGCCACGAATCGAACCATGGATCTCGTCGCCGCCCTCGCCCTCGCCCTCGATCAAAATGAACACGTTCTCCCCGCCCACATCCTTCACCGCCCGCTGAGCGACGTCGCGCGCGTCTCCCGCGTCGTCTCCGCACACGACCACGACCACGTCCGCGCCATCGAACGCCCGCTCGGACGTCACAATCACCTCGGTTCCGCTCGGGAGCCCGTCCACGAGCGCGCACCCGGGTCCTGGGTTCATCGGTCGAAGGTCGATGCACGTCGCGCGCGTTGCGCGTCCGCTCGCTCGCAGCGCGTTCGCGAGTGCGTCCACCGCGAGCGACGCGCCCGCGCTCTCCCTCGGTAGTACCGTCCGAGCGAGTGATATTGTCGATTTGACGTCTTCGTGGATCGCTCGAACGGCGTCCTGCGCGCGTGAATCGAGATGTTTGTCAGTTGATGGATTAATCATGATTCGTCAGGCGAAGACATTCAGCGTAAGAGCGCACGCACAGTTCGAACGACGTCGTTTAAGACATCGGACCAATCCCCGAGCTCTCGCCGGTCGAACGCGAGCTCCGGATCGTCGTCGTCGGTGGACATTACGGAGTCGCGATGTGAGGCGGTTGGCGGCGGTTGCGGTTTTAATAACAGAGGACTACGCGAGCTCGAAAGCCTCCTGGAGGTTGCGCTCGCCGCGATTCTTCGCCTTGGGCGGGGTTGGGAGAATGAATTCATCTGCGTCGGCGCTGAGGTTGGAAGAGACGCGGAAATCGCGGAATCGTTCAGGAGTGTCGATCTCCGCCGCCATTGCTTTCATGGTCGGGGAAATCTCCGGAAGGCCGGAGAGGTCGACGTCGTCGATTTGATCGAGCGAGACGTCGTTTGTGTCTACTGTTGCGCCGTCATGTTCGCCCGCGACGAGATTGGCGATCTGTTCGTCCTCCTCCGCCTCAAACTCGGCCAGGATGGCGTCCATGTCCGCGCCGGTCTCTGCGAGCATGTCGCGGAGCTTTTCGACGCGTCTACCCTCTTGGCCGAGACATACGAGGAGATCGGCGAGCTCTTCCTGGGCCTCGGCGCTTCCCGCAGCGTAACCCTCCTGGTATCCTTGCTCTTTACCGCGCTCGAACGCCTCGTTGACGGCTTCTGCACTCGCGGCCTCTGGCGCGCGACTCGCAAGCTCCACCTCAAGAGTCTCAACCTTCGCGCACAATTCCGTCTCCCTCCTAAGCGCTTGAGCTAATTCGTCGGCAACGGCGTCACGATTGAGTTTTACGTCCTCCAACTCCGTCGTCGTCGCCTCGATCGTCGAGCGCAGCTCCTGCACCTCGGCGTCGTGCGTCGCTCGCTCAATCCAGTTCTCGTCGTCATCACCGCCATCCCAGTACCATTCGTTCTTGTTCTCGTCCCATTTCCAGCGTGGATCGTAATCGTAGTCTTCATGACCCTCGTATCCTTCCCAAGAAGCCTGCGCTTCGCCCGCGGCGTCGGCGTGGGCCTCCTCACTCGACGGCTCAGGAGCCGAGATATGTTGTGTCTCCACCGCTTCAGGCGCCCCAACCTCTTCCTCGACCGGATACGGCGCGGCGGCAGCTTCGTGCTGAAGCCAATCTTGTGTTTGCGACTCCCAAAGTGCGCCTGCGCTCTCGGCTTGGGCGTCCCATCGCACACCTTGGTCTTGGTCAGTGGCTTGTTCAGTCACCCAGTCGTTCGCGCCGCCGTCGGTTTGATCGATCGCCCAATCGCTCGCGACACCCGCGCCGGTTTGTTCGCTCGCCCAGTCACTCGCACCGCCGCCGAACGCGTCCAAGGCCTCGCTCTCTGGATAAGGCGTCTCCGCGGGCGCGGATGACTCCGCCTCTACAGCGGGCTCTGACGTTCGCGCAGGTTGTTCCAGCGCGTCGACCGCAGAAATGATCGGCGCAACGTTTTCGCTCTTCATTTCCTCTTCGGTCGCGCTCGCAGTCGGTCTTAACAGTTCCAACGGCGCCTCGTGCGCGTCAACCTCGCGTTCCTCCGCCGGCGGCGGCGCCGGGACAAAAAAGGACATCCCCGGCGCCGGCGCACCTCCGAATCCTGCCCCGATCGGCGCCGCGCTCGGAACAAACGCACTCACGGGCGCGCTCACAGCCGGCCCGCTCGTCGTTCCACCGTCTCGCGCGAATACATCCACGTATCGCTGTCGCGGCGGTCCGCCGCCCACTCTCGGCGACCCGCTCTGCGACCCGACACCCACCCCACCGGTCGTCTCCGGTCCTCCGAATGTATTCCCCGGCGGCCCTGTCGTCGTCGGAATCGGTGCCATAGGCGGCGCCATAGGCGGCGCCTGCGATGCCGTTCCGCTCGCCGAGTCGCCACCCGTCCCGCTCGCGCCGCTCCTGTCCACCCACGTCTTCGTCGCCTCGTCGAAGTAAAACGACGATTCCATCCCGAGCTTCGCTTTGGTCACCTTCTTTCCGCCCTACATGACGTCACGAACGGTACGAATCGGCGTCAGTCGTCGAGAGCGCGCCGGCGTCCGAGCGAGATCAAATTTTGATTTTCAATCGAAAGGAAAAACTGTCGAGACAAACGCGTCGCGCGCGCTCGTTTCGCGTCACGTCGAGGCGAGAACGACACGCACGAATCCGAAACGTGCGAAGACGCCTTTTGTTTCATTTTCGTCCGCCATGGTTGACGATGACGAGGATGGGGTCGTCGAGATGTGGAGATTGCAGTACTCTTGCGCGAGAGTGACTCGATGACTCGGTTCGGCGGAGCGTCGATTGAGCGGAGTGAAAGATGCGTTAACGCTAATGGTTCGAATGACAACATGAGCTGAGATACTACTAGACCCCTTCGAACGTGATCGAGGAGCGGTTGAGAAAGAATGTGGAGGCTTCAGGCTGCGGCTCTAAATCTACGAAACAGAGACGACTGTTCGATGCGCAAGGTGTCTTGCGACTTAATCGGTGCCCTCGTACTCGCGCATCTTGGCGATACGCTCGTCTTCCTCCGCCATGGCCTCGGCTTCGGCGCACATGCGCTCGATCTCCTCGGCGGTGAGACGGCCTCGGTCGTGCTGAAGGCTGACGTTGGCCTCGACGCCGGTAACGCGATCCTTGGCGGTAACCGTGAGCAAACCGTTGGTGTTGACCTCGAAGGTGACATCAATCTTCGGCTCACCAGCGGAGGCGCGCTCGATGCCGGAGATTTGGAACTCGCCGAGCAAGTGGTTACCGTCGGTGTTTTGGCGCTCACCCTCGAAGATGCGCACATCGATCTCGTCTTGGTTGTCGTAGACGGTCGTGAATTCGCTCTTCTTCTTGCACGGAATGGAGGTGTTACGCGGAACAACCTTGGCGAACTGGCGACCTTCGCACTCAACGCCGAGGGACAGCGGGACGACATCCATAAGGAGGACGCGAGAGGTTTGCTTGTCGCGGACACCCGCGAGGATGGCACCTTGCACCGCGGCACCGTAGGCAACAGCCTCATCCGGGTGGACGGACTTGTTGAGCGGCTTGCCGTCGAAGTATTCGGTGAGGATCTCTTGCACGCGCGGGACGCGGGTAGAACCACCGACGAGGACAATTTCGTTGACCTCTTCCTTCTTTCTGCTGGCGTCGGAGAGCACGCGCTTGACGGCGTCCATGCATCGCTGGAACGTCGGCTCGTTCACCTTGTTGAACTCTTCGCGAGAAACCTTGAGGTTGATCTCGTGTTCGCCAATGAAGCACTCAATGTTCGCGTGGTTGGCGACGGACAATTCACGCTTGGCCTTCTCGCACGCCGTGCGCAACTTGCGGAGCGACTTGGCGTCGCCGGCAAAAATGTCGGAGCCCTTCTGCTTCTCGATTTCCTTTTGCGCGTACGCCGCAAGAGCAGTGTCGAAATCTTCACCCCCCAAGTGCGTGTCACCAGCGGTGGAGAGCACCTCGAACACGCCGTCTTGCAACGCCAAGAGAGAAACATCGAAGGTACCACCACCGAGATCGAAGACCAAGATGCACTGGCTCTTGATGACTTCGCCATCCGCGCCTTCGCGGCGGTCGAGGCCGTACGCGAGCGCCGCGGCGGTCGGTTCGTTGATGATACGCAAGACGTCGAGGCCAGCGATGGCACCGGCATCCTTGGTTTGGCGACGCTGGGCATCGTTGAAATACGCCGGGACAGTGACGACAGCCTTGGTGATCGGCACACCGAGTTGCGCCTCGGCGGTGGCCTTCATCTTTTGCAAAACCATGGCGGAGATTTGCTCCGGGGCAAACTCCTTCGTTTCGCCGCCGACTTCGACGGAGATGACCGGCTTGCCGCCTTCGCCTTCCTTGACGTCGAACGGCATGAGCGCGATGTCGTCGGCGCACTCGCTGTATTGGCGACCGATGATGCGCTTGATGTTGAAGAGCGTGTTCTTCGGGTTGACGGCGGCTTGGCGCTTCGCCGTGTCACCGATGAGACGACCTTGCTCCGTGAACGCGACCCAGGACGGGGTCGTGCGGTCACCTTCAGCGTTCGTCAAAACGTGCGCTTCACCGTTTCTCCACACGGACACGCAAGAGTACGTCGTACCGAGATCGATACCGATGACGTATTCGTCGAGCGTGACGTTATCCATTTGCGCCGCCAACTTGGCCGCCTCAACCTTTTCCTTTTGCGCAATCTTCGCCTCACCCAAGCCTTCCAAGAGGTTGTTGTTCTTCGGATCGACAGCCAAACCCCGCTCGTACGCCGAGATGGCGTCGTGCAAGAAACCAGCCTTGAAGAGAGCGAAACCGAGACGAGAGTAGCCCTTGGCGAAATCCGGGCGAAGCTCGATGCATCGTCGCGCGTCCGCGCACGCCTTGGAGTATTGGTCCAAGTTGGCGTAGCACGCGGAGCGGTTGGAGTAGAACACGTGGTCATACGGGTCGCACTCGATCGCCTTGGTGAACTCCGCGGTGGCGGCGTAGTATCGCGCGGCGGCGAACGAGTTGTTACCCGCCGCCTTGTGCTTCGCCGCCTCAGCCTTCATCGCCGGCGTCACCTACGTTTCGCGAACGCTCGAGACGAACCGTCAGTCACGCGTCCACCACCGCGCATCGCATCAAAAATCCCACCACACCCATCACCACCGTCCACGAACCGACCGCCCGAGACGTCACGCGACCGCGCCATCGACCCGTCTCCGTCCCGCGTCGCCGCCGCG